ATTTTAAAAAATTCAATGGTGAAAATTGTATTTTGAGAAAAAAAATGTTTTCCTCAGAATCTAACAATCATTTAAAAAAGAAAAGAAACTAAATAAACCAGCAACGGTATCATTACCAACTAATATTATAATATTATTCATGTTTAGAACATTGGGATTATATTATTCCCCCACATAAAGCTAGTTTATTCCATGCAATATGATTTCTTTCACGTGTGTACACATAAATATATTCATTTTTATTATTAGGATGACGTGGTTTTTTTATATATTTTCAAAATTTTTATATCTATTTTATTATCTACCCCATCTCTTTAAAAGCCAACTTTCCTTCTTTATCAATCAAATTTCGATTTTTTTTCGGATATTTTGAAAATATTAAAAGTAATATATACTAAATAAATCTATGTGAGGAAAGGGCTAAATCATTAAAAAAATCTAAAATTTACCGGTAGTTTTAATTCTACTCTAAATATAATTTTTTTCTTTTAGTACTATGAATTTCAAGTTGAGGTACAACAGCGCTCTAATTTTAAATTTTTTAATTTAATGAATAAAATATCATTTTTGTGGTGTCCATACTATTTTTAGTGATCATGTTAACTAAACACTCATTCTTTAACGCTCTAACTTAACCTTCTCAAGATCAGACTCCTTTCTCACTACCACCACGTATAAATAAATAATTATTTATATTATTTATATAAATATGAAAATAAAAAATAATATATTCATCTTAAAAATAAAATGCCTTTTATTTTGTTATACAATATTGATAACAAATAATGATTCTCAAAAAAATAAGAGATATCAAATATCATGTTCAAAATAAACATAAGAAAATCCAAATAATATTAAATTCGAGAGAGAATCTTATTTTTTATTTTGCGAAATTGAAAGGAAACATACTTCAAGTAATCACCATCACCACTGCAACCAATGCTCTATCGTTACCTACCACCGTAATCGCCATTACCGCAACCACCGCTGTAAGCACCAACTCTCCATCACCACCACCATATCATTATTAGTTATTCTTTTGCATTGTTATAAGAATAGGAAGGAAAAAAAAATAAAAAATCACTAAAACGATCAAAATACCATAATTTTATATTGTAATTTAATTTATTCAATGAAAATATATAAAATTATGAAAAAAAAAATTTCAATGACTTTAACTTTTATTTTATTACATTACATTTGTTCAGCTTTTTTTTTTTTTTTTTTTTTTTTTTTTCACACTTTGTTCAGCTTTTTTTTTTTTTTTTTTTTTATTTTTCTAGTCCAAATAAGTTTTTTTTTTTTTTTTTTTTTTTTATTTTCTAGTCCAAATAGTTTATAGGTCTAAATAGTCTTTAATAGTTTATAGGTCTAAATAGTCTTTAATAGTTTCATGTAATGAATAATTTTTAATTCAAATATTTTTTTATTAATAATAATGCAGTGACAGAGATGGTGATAGAGTGGTAGTTGTGGTGGTGCTGGTGGCGGCAACGAAGGTGTCAGTAGTTTAGTGTGCTAATTATATTACATGTTTACAAATAAAAATAAAAATGGAATGTTGATTATATTTCATAAATTTTCTAAATTACTTTACCAAACATAATAATGGAATCTTCAATTCCATTCATTACATTACATTTTTCATTACATTACATCTTTGATTATATTATATTGCATTATAACAAACCAAACACAGTCTAAAAGCTTTATTTTCTTCTTCCATATGCGGCCATAGGTGAGAGCCTTTTCCTTTTTTTTTTTTTGTTTATTTTTTTCTCAAATAATTTTTTAGATCTTTATACAGATCTAAATTTTTTATATAGTAAGTAATAGTGTTGGTTGTTCATTATTCAAGAATTCTTATATTGTTTATTAAATACGCAATTTTGATAAATACCATTTCACACATTTTTTCCTTTAAAAAAATATTTATTTAGAAAAATGAATAAAAAGGACATTGAAAAGGCAATATAATGTTGATTAATAATAGAATAATTAAAGCAGTTGTAATTGATTATAGCTCAATCCAATTAATAATGCAATATGAATTTCAATATTTGTTCATTTCTGTTGTCTACTATAAATAAAGAGAGATGTTATAGTTTTTCCTCTTAACATTTATATTAAGTATAAATTGAGAAACAATAAGAAAAATAAAAATTTTCTTTCCTCAAATGGCATAAAAGTATCTAGAAAAATGAAATTATTTTTTAAAAATACTATAATCAAAAAATCAAAAGTGAAAATCTCTTTTTTTTATTTATTTGTAAAAGGAAATGAGGGATAACGTATTGAGTACTGGAATAAAAAGCCTTTTTATAAATAAATAAAAAGAACATTTAATAATAAATTTGATTTCATCTCTCAGCCAAATAAGAAACAAAAATAATATTTTTATAAAGTTCTGGAATAAAATGATTGTAACTGATTAGAGACCACTTACGAGAATTAAGGCTGTATATATAAGATCTTCCTTAGATTCTAAATAGAAAAATGTATTATTGCTATTTTGGATTTTATGTCAAATATCTATTTAGTTCCTATAATTATGAAAATTCTATATGTAAGTTACAAATTAGTCACTGGTAAATATTTATATGCTATCAATTATAATGATTTTTAAAATAATATCGAAATAGAAAATTATTATTTTTAAATAACTATAAATAAAATGATAAAAAAAATATTAATTTTAAAAAATAATTTTATTAATAATTATTTTTATGAGGCTAACGAAGTCTAAACATAGCATAAATATATAAATCAACTATTAACTAATAAAAAAAATCCAAAATGTGATTGATGAAATTAGCAGCTGATAGAGACTTTTATCGATTATTAGTTGCTGATTACAATTCAGTCTTGGATACGAATCAGTTATAAGTTGTATGAATTAGCTAAATGAAACGCAAAACTTCGAAATGAAAGATTGACTTTTAATTCAAATTCCATATACATTATCTATATTAACAAAAGTATTAAATTTAGTAATTACGATGAGCCAAAAACAGGATTCAGAATTTGTAACATTAATCATTCAAATATAAATCTCTTTTCAGTTCTATTATATAAGATAAGCATTTAATTGTTTATATTCTATACAGCTCACCAAATGAAACATATATCATTGGATTCTAAGAATGCTTTTGCGTATGACAAAAGCTGTCATCTCAAATTGATTTTCAAAAGATTATTTCTAAACATAAATCGTCAATGATATCCTTTTCAATCTATCAATCTCCGCTTTCATATCTAAGAAAATGCAAATTAGCTAGAGGAAACAGATCATGTGGGAAAGCAAAAGGGGCGCAGGTAAGAATACTAGCACTTGTAATAAAAGGAAAACATGGTATCATTATTTAATTCGCAGGAAGGTTAAATAAGTCGAAATAAAACTACAGACTATACAATAGAGGTAATCCTTTCTTTAACTCATTAAATTAATAAAAATTCTTATGATTGACTTCTCACATACCACATCTAATTGGCACACTAATAATATCATTCAATCTTGAAAATTAAAATTTTTTATATGGTTTTCAGTGTTATCAATCAGCAGTTCATTAAAAAATAAAACAATTATGCGTTACACCTGAAATAATGAAATAGAATTCAAAGAACACAGCATTCTTTCAAACTGATAATAGGTAGGCGGACAAAGCTAATGATGTAAAAGATGGGAAAACTATAAAATGATGTACTTCTATTGTTTTTGTTCATGTTTTCCATGAGCTTCACATATGTATATATAATCTTCCATGAATCACAGCTAAGTTGCCAATATTTAAATAAATAAATAATCAACTCCTACACATGTTTCAATGCCTTCCCAAAAATTTATTTTCAATGTTGTGTTAGGAAAACAAAAGCAACTAAGGAACTGCTTTGGACCATTGATAGTTGACCTTTGGATCTCATTATAATAAAATAAGAAAAAGTTCTTTCAATTTTGACTGGATATTGATATTAAGTTTTTAAATTATGGTATAATTGGTGTGAAAAAAATACATTCACAAGCTAAAAATTATTATATATTGGAGATATGTAACCTTAGTGTTTTGAATGATTTGCGACCACAATCTAATAAAAATACAAACACGTGTGAAAAAATTATGTATATGAATTAAAATAAAGTTTTAGAATTTTGAAGAGACCTGTGTTATAAAATTGCCCATAAACTTTAAGATTTTATAATATGTCACTTATCATACAGTTAAAATTTACACTCATTAATTCCAAAATGCAAAATTATACTACTAAATTATAATTTCAGAGACACGATAAATCTCTCAAAAGTTAGGCCAAGAGTAGGACATGTGACTCATCCATTCAAACTTTTCAAAGGGATAGATATTATTAGATAGCTAAAGGGGTGGCTCAACTCACTTTGAAAGTTGGAATGAATTGATACAAATGCAATTGAATTGAAAATCCCCCCAAAGCTTGATCACTTTCCATCCTTTTTCAGTAATATGACGTTTGAACTAGTTTTTAAAAATTAAGAAAACGTTTTATAAAAAGTTAACGTTTAACTTTTTAATGTTTTATGAAAAACTACTCAAACGACTAATAACTAAACACCACTAAAACAGCTAATACCTACAAAAATAACTAATTTTACTGAACAGATCTTATATACAAAACAGCTCGTTCATCACTGTTTAGAAGTGCTACAAAAGTAAAACCTACAATTCAAGAGCAACTTTATACATTTTGGCCATTTTCTCTCCATCTTTATTTTTAGTTTTAATCACATAATGCTTATGGCACTATTTTGTCTTTGTATCTAAGCAGCTATTATCTGTTATAGTAATTGTTTTAAATTTTAGTAGCTATTAACTGTTCCAGTGATTATTAGCTGTTAATGTTAGTTGTTAACTGGTAGTTGGAGAGAAAAAAAAAAAAAAACAATGGATATGATTGTAAAAAAAATTTATGAGCTCTAAAAGTTATTATAAAGCTATATTACCGAAATCTTACAATCAATAAAAATAGAGTTTTTACTCGGTAAAAATGTTAAAAACTAGTTCAAAAGTTATTGCCCAACATGCCATAACTTCGCTATCTGCTATCAATTACAGCATGCGCCAAATGGGCACCAACTACTCATTCAGTAGCACAAACTGTATGCAAGTTTAACGAATCAATCTCAAAAAGAATATCATAAACAATATGAAGCTGAAACAATTCATACAAGGGCAATTATACATGGTATGAATCAATACACCAAGAATACATATTTAGGTGTCCCTCCTCTCTTGGATTTTTTTTTGTGGCAGGCCTCTTCCATTTTAAACTACTCAATGAACTACAACAATAATTCTGGAGACAAGCATTCGAAGAATTCAACTTCTTTGAGAAAAAAGAAAATGTACCAGTGCCGTCATCAAACTGATTCTGCAATGCTGGATCCTGCTAAATATTGTCCAGTACTCTTGGATTGCAAATTATCCTGACAAGCTCATGAATCGGCCCATTTCAAACTTTTGTTTTTCTTAATTAGGTTTCCAAAGTAATCTACGAGCCTGGGCAGGAGGAGCTAATCCAGGAATATCCCGAATGTCCTTGTTATTAGGGTTCACAAGCTGATAAAAATCAAGGAAAATTATCAGATAATCAAGCAAAGTTACAGAAGACATATATGACAGATCACATTTGGACGAGTGACTCCTGAAAGCAACAACAATTGGAAAATTCAACACTGCAAAATAGAAATAATTTACCAGGCGAAGTATCTATACATCATAACTAGGTAAGTTAAGATTAGCAAATTCCTTATTCAATAAAGACAATTTTGACCAAGGAGTTGTTCATCCATGAAAAAGAAACAGTTGAGAAAGAAACCTGTAGGTGAAAAGATGGAAATTTTATATATATTGCCACAACATCCATAACTTTACAGCTAAATCTATGGGGGTATCAATAACAAGTCACGCGCCCAAAAATGATGATTAGGGGCGCCAAACACTCGATTCGAGTTAAGCAACGCGAAGACTGTAATGTCATGCAGTTTAACGAATATCCAAATAGATCGCCCATTAATGAATATTGAGAGTATCTAGTATACGCGAAGATAAAAAATTATATTAGAAAACTGTGGGCCTTCTGAATCTAATTCAATACTATGGTGGCAATACCTCTATATTAACATGTATTATGAATCAATTAACACAATAAAGGGATAATCTATTATCTTGTGTACCTCTCTCTTGGATTTTATTTTATCTACCCAAGCTATGTGGTCAACTCTTCTTGTGCGCACATTTGTTAACAAACTAACCACAATGGAAAACTCAAAGTCAATACTCTCTGTGATACAAAAAGAGCCTTTTCCGGTGAATAGGAATTCCATAGCAAAAACTTCTTTGAGAAAATAGATAGTCCGTACCACGTTGCCGTATCAATAACTGATCGCTCTAAATGTATCCTGCTAAATCATTTGTCCAGTCTATTTGCATTGACATAATTGTCTTCCTGACTCAAGCTCATCAATTCGCCCATCTTCAAACTTATTGTTTTTCTTAATATAGGTATATCCAACCAAGTAGTGTGAGCCTGGGGTCTTAGGAGGATTTAATCCAGGGGTAATATCTTCCGCAAATGATCCTTGCTCAACTTATTTTCAAGGGTTCCCAAGCTTCGAAATACGTATCCATGTATGAAAATTATGCAGAATAATCAAAGCAAAGTTACAGAAGCACATAATAGTGAAGCATCACATTTCCATTGGAACTCCGAAGTGACTATACCTGCAGCAGCAAACACAAATGTGGGGTAAAGATTCGAAACACTGCAAAATAGAAATTATATTTATCACAGACGAAATATCAAAGTATCTATATCAATTCCTCACCTAAGATAAAGTTAAGATTTAGCAAGGCCATATCCTCTTCATTCAATAAAGACAATTTTGGACAAAGGAGTTGTTCAATGAGATGAAGAGAAGGGAGAACACCTCAATATATATGTGAACAGAAGGAAAAACCTGATAATGAAAAAATGGAAACTTTTACTCTTAGTTTGGACTTTATTGTAATATCATACTTCTCTAATTCCTCCCATATATTGCACATTTGGATAAGTTAGATGCCTCTCAACGCTGTCTTTAAAGTTTGAGGAGTCATACCCAAAAAGTTGATGCAGCCATAAACAAGTTTCGCGCGGATAGCATTTTTCTTTTTTTTTTCTTAGATGTCCCCCGGGTTGGCAGAGTTATTCTTTCTATATTGTTTCATTAATATTATTTGTTATGTTATACACCAGCTCTTGGTGTTCAACAAAAGACAAAGATGGGTCTGTTAAATAGCACTGTAGTTTTAAGGTTCCTACCTAAAAAACATAGAGGATGAACCTAATAGTATATATATGCAATTTGGATAGTTGTCCTCCGTTCTATAAAGTTTAGGGATACAACTACAAAAGTTTGAGCCATAAACAAGTTCGCGCAGAATACACTTTTTTTTTTTTGTGGTATTATCTTCTTTGTTTCTATATTTTCTGTTGTATACAGTTTGGTACAAAGACAAAAGATGGTCTGTTAATAGCACTGTATTTTAGTCCTTACCTAAAAAAACATAGAGGTGAAACTAATAGTTTGTTTTATGATACTGTAGTTCCTAAAATTAAAACTAGACTGCACCCTAGTCCTTGAAATAATAGAAAGCAAATTTTAATTTAATCCTTAAATTGTTAAATTATATAACACTTTAACCTCTCAAAATTGTCAATTTAAATAGTACGGATCAGAGTTTATAAATGTCAAACCTCATAGGAATGGGTTAAATAGTACGGATCAGAGTTAATATAACTTTGCATTCAACTTAGTAGAAAGTTTGGGATTGCATAAGACCTTAAAAATTATTCTGTTCAAGCCATTCTAATTTAACCTACAATTTACACGGACATTAGACCTGTTCAAAATATGGAATGGGTCCAAGTTAGAATTTTTTAATTGCAATTTTAGTGGGCGCTTTGGACCTCAACCTTTAATAAAAAAACAACCTAAAATAACAAAAAACAATTAAATGCAATCAGGTGAGCTGATATTGGTCATCAATAAACACTCGCAAGTTCCCTAATTACTCCAAGTCACATTAGGCCACGGGACAAAAACGCCACCTAATTGTAACTTTCTAGTGAGTTGGGCCAAGAAAGTTCCCAAGAACAAGTTTTTTCATTTTCACCATAGCTTTATATGATATAATGTGACGTACTGCTTGCTACATTTTATGTTCACAGCATGGCAAAAAGATTTCTAAGACGCTCTGCATTCCTAAAGTGATAACTTAAAATATAATTTCTTGGTTTCTATAATCCTAAAGATTTATTATAATGATAAATATGAGTACTAACTTGAAGCATCAATTTCAACTTTTTTCTTTTTTAGCAAATGAACTCTAACAATGCAATTTATGCACATCAACCCAACATTCATGGCTCCAAGTAAACTTAGGGTAGCCAGACTTCAAGCAATCATCAGCTACTCCGGAGCATAGGTCAACTTTAGCTAAAAGATAGTAAACATATGTGTATGAAACAATGTTAGAATTACCTTTTCTTACTCTATTTCCCCTTTGAGTGGCATCACAATAAACATGAGTTTAGAAGTACAATATCATAATGCCAAATTATGAATATGCATTTATTAAGTCATGCGACCGAGATGACAAAAGTAGCAACCATCAATGAAGCTCATGTTTTCATAACAAAAAAGCAATTGAACTATTAGAGGCACAAATATTGTGGGGAAAAATAATAGGAAAAGGTCTTCCAATAAAAGATTATTGACACTCACTAAAATCTAGATTAAAAAGAAACAAAAAGGAACTAACAAAATTTTAGTGAAAATGGGTTACGAGCAAATTCTAAAACTTCCATGCTATAATTTACAGAAAAAAGAAGCACAAGTATGAAATACCTTCACAATAATGATGGCTACAACCCCAGCAACAATAAGGAAGAGCATTGACATAATGCACCTATCAGTTGCAACCTGAAAGGAAAAAACTCAAGTAGGTAGTGTGAACTATAACTAGGCTTAATATATGAAATAAAAAAGGAAGTGGATTTTTTAGAAATTGACCTGCCTACCAATTTCCTTGACCAGTTTAGAAGCTTTCTTGATCGAGAAATGAATAGAGTCAAGCTCGTTAACAATCCTGCTCATTTGCTCAGTCTGCACATGGAAATACTCTTAGTTTCAGCGCCATTGCATGGTCATAAATTTTAATCTTTTTCTTGAGGATCCATAAAACAAACTGTTATTATGTCAGTGTACCTGAGCCTTAAGAGCTGCTGCAGTCTCTGTTCCAACATTGATGGTCTCTTCAACAATCTAGTAAAAACAGCAACACAAAAATTACTTCAGGAACAGAAAAGGCTGATAATAAGCCCATAAATCTACTAAAAGGCAAGATAGCTTGATTCTACAATTTCCACTTTGTCTTCTGTTATCTCATTCCATTATAATTTTTCTCTTTTAAGCTGAGAGTAACAGAAGGTTTGTCTTTTGGATCTATAAAAACTTCCCATAGCTAAACATATTATTACTTGGCCATTTATATGGACACGTCACACATACCTTTTTACCCCTCTCAATTGCTTGATCAGTATCATCCATCATTTGGTTCCCATGATCCATTAACTGCTGGTTCGTCATAGCTGCAAAATATCAAGCCTGTTAGAATTTAGAAATACTCCAAAAAAGGATCAAACATTATGCCTAGCATCCAATTTGCTCCACACTACTGCTGAATCATATAAAACGCAAGATAAGATCCTGTACCAACCAACTATACAGAATACACTAGTTCGTTGGGACACAAAAGGAAGCAAGAATGCCTATATTACAGAATTTGTTGAGTGTATTAAACCAGTCAATACAGAAATAGAATGATACACATTCCAATAAGGGAGCAAGAGTCCGATCTGCAAGTTGGTATTCCATCCTCACTGAAGCGACATTCGAAACACAAGATTTGAAGAAATTTATTTGTAATACCATATCTGTTAAGTTCAGAAAGCAAAAGGAATTTATTTGTGAGTCCATGATTTTATTTCATTCACTTCAATAGACTTAAAAGATTTTATCAAATTAGTGAAATTTTATGATAAATTTCAGACCACTTGGGTTAAAGACTTGATAGGACTACAATATCAACATGGAAACTCATTACTTGGATCTCTTAGTCTCTCACTCCCAATCTACATCAACCCTGTGTCCCTATCTCTTATTCAAACATGATGTTGAACTAAAATTCAATTGAAAATAGAGGTGTTAATTTATAGTATAATAAACATAAGAAATCATCCATACTGAACTCTATAGTAGAAATGTTTTTTCAAATGAAATAAAATGTTTGTCCAGTTGCTTAAACACAGTATAAAATTAAGTATTTTCAGGAAATACATTTCTGTAACATAACATGTATCGTATCTGAATATATAAGGGAAACATCAGTCATGCAATTAAAGCTTCTCATTTCCAGCCTTCCATTCCCTTGAATACACAATTAGACATTTTACAAAATCCTGTAGTAAATCCATCAATTATAATCAATATCTCAAATTCCTTCCAAAGTAAAAGACGTACAATCACTGGTACCAGTTACCATACTGTCACAGAAGTGTCACCTTAAGCACCATAGACATTGCTATGAACCATCTATAAGGATAATGAAGAGGAGAGGACAAGGAGAGACAAGAATAGGGAAGAGAACTATGGAAAGGAAAGAGAAATAAGACAAAGGAAAAGTTGAGTTATGAAACTCTACTGAAAGTATCGATCAACTTAGAGCAACTTTGTGCTCCCAACATGACAAAAAAAGTTCATAAAAGAGTATGCATACTACAAAAAATGGCAACTCACATGAAGCTAGCAATACATTATCTTCATTTAACCCTTCACCAGGCCCTTCAAAGAGATCAACTCTCTTGTTGTTTTCAAGAGTGGCAGCATATCTGTATCACAATCACAACAGCGTTGAATTAGTTGTTGCAGCAAATGCTACACGTACGAACAAAAGATCTCTAATATTTAACCCCAAAAGGTCAAATGTTATTCAATTAGGTAAATAAATTAATTTACAATAATAATAGACAATTTAACCCTTAAGGCAAACAAGTTCCTTGTCTTGATGATCAAATCACTAAAAAACAAAAAATTTAACCCAAAAAAAAAAAAATCTTAATATTCATCAATCTTCTAAAGGAGCTGAAATGAATGTCATATTTAGGTCGAGTCAAATACATCAATTAATACCAAGTGAGAGAGTCAGAAGATTAGATCCTTGGGAATGTTATCAACCATGACATATAAAGTCAGTGAAAACTAAGATGCAGGAGGTGGGGGGATGGACTCACCAGATCAATAAGTATAAAGAACTATTCATATATGCTAAAAAAGTCACTAAGTAACTATTACGGAGAAAGGAAGATGTTATTTTTAGCAGAAAAGCCAAGCAATTTTATCATAATTTTTTTAGACATTGCTGAAGAGGATTAATGGAGAATTAACCAAAATACCAAATAGAATTTAAATAGTCAAAAAGTTGAGCAACACAACAAGTACTATAATTTATAAAGATTTATCAGGACAGAGAAAGAAAGAAAGAGGAAAAGAATCAACATTATAAGAAATGTGGGAACAACTATCCTACTGCCAATATAAAAATGACTAGGTTCTTATAAATGCACAACAGGCCTATCTCTTGGTGCCAAATGTATCTAAAATAGTAAATGTTGATAAAATGTTAACTTACTGCTTTTTTAGAGCAACATATGAATTCAACTCTTTTATCTGCATTAAAATGCAAACAACTCTCAGAAACATTGCAAAACAAAAGGTGACAGGTTCAAGAATTAAATTTTTTCTTTTATAAAAGAATAAAAATGAATAAAACCCACCATTGATTGCTTTTTCTCATTCAGCATCCTATTAGTGTTTGGATCATTTCTACCTTCCATGTCCTTCACTTCTCTATCAAAATCTTTGATAAGCCTGAAAGACGAGAAAACATTGAAATAGGTTTAAAACAAAAAAAGAATGAGTGAAAAACATATAATATTTCTAGAATGCTTAATCAATAATGCTGATCAGAAAAATAAAATCTCTAAGCCAACTGAAAAAACAATGAGGTGTTGCCACTTAAATGATTCATATTATTTCCAGATTACAATAATCAGCTTAACTGGGGCACTTTGCTATCACCCAATTTGTATATGCATGCATCCAACTGTTAAACAGTTGACACTACAAACAAGTGCAGCAAAAAACAATGAAGTCAGAGAAAGGTTGATATGCCAATTACCTCTTACATTCCCGCATCTTCTCAGTAAGCTCTTCCAATTGCCGACTCTGCCTATTGACATCCTTGACCTTCTCCAATTTCTGAAACCCATTTCTGCAAGATCAACATATTACATTTTTCACCATTAAACACACCAATTTGACAATTCTCCAGTCTGAAATCCCAGCTGATTCTAAACCCTAACTAAATCTACATTTTTACATTTCGCAATTTCAGAAAACAAATGCAACATAATTATATTTCTCGATATCAATATACATTATTAAAATATGCTAGCACATAAAAGCCGCACGTCAGATGAACATAATACACTCATTTAATTCTTTTTCCATACTCAAATTCTAGATCAACAACAAATATTGCAAATTTAACTAAAACCTGAAAACTTTCATAAATATTGAACAATGCATCATGATCTAAACTGCAACTAGCGATCAAAAGCAACTAAAAAAAAAAAGCCAAAATATTCTTACGATAAAGCTCGAAAAATGTCAGCTATTTGTCCATCGATCTGCCCCAGCTGCTCGCTAACTGCTGATATCGGATCCATCTCTGAAAATTCCCTCCAAACTTCTTAAAACCTAATGAAATCCCGATTCTATTAAACAAAATGCAGATTAAAAACACGATCTAGAACAACACAACCGCAAATTCCTCGATCTGATCCGTACAGCTGCACATTCATTTGAAATGCAGAGGATTTAAAATTCCGAATTTTTGATTCACACTCGCATTTGCTTCCATTACCAAAGAGATTTTGCGCTCCAGATTCGGATTTCGAATCCAGAGATTCTAGAATAAAAAAACAGAATTTGAAATCCTGGATCGGATCCGTTCAATGCAGGTTATGGAATTGATCAAGGAGACCAGAATTGAAGGATTTACAGTGTCTCCCGATCTTGATGAAACCTAAGTAACGTAACGCAATACAAATAACATTTGCTTCTTTGTGATATACAGACAATATTCCAATTTTTTTTTTTTTAAGATTATTTATTTTCTTTCTTTTATTTGGACTTTTGTTTGGAGAGAGGGTTTTTGGCTCTGAGATTGAGAGGTTTAAAAAATTACCGATTTGTGTGGCCGTTCAAACCGCTAATTAGGGGCTTTTTACCTTCCTCCGCGTGGCATTGGATTTGTAAAAAAATTGATTTTTTTTTTCTAAATTTTTTTATAGAAAATTTATTATTTCATTCTTCAAGTTTGACCAAATTATCTAAATACTCCCTGCCATTGGTCGAATATACAACACATCTCTGAGATTTGAATCCGTCGACACAAATAGTCATTTCGTCCAATATTAAAGGGTTTCAACCGTCGAATTAGAGTGAAAAGATTAAAATACCTTTAAATTTTGTATGCCTACTTTTCCAATACAGTGTCATTTATTCATTTGCTCACTTCTGGAAGTACAAAACCCTCTAGTTGCACCTCTTTGCTGGGTGTATGACTGCTTCTGTTCAAATTATACGGTGGGTCATGGTCCGGTGGTAGCCTGTAAAAGTGAATGCTTGGCTTTTGGATCGATGAGCTTTGTTGCTGAAATCATTATAAGAATCCACAGATATGTAGAACATTGAGTTATTCACCGCATGACATATGGAGATGAAGCTCCAAACTTCATTATCTCTTTTTCATACCTCTTTAATACATCTTTATCAATAGCTTCTGCAGTGATTATGAACGTTGAATTGGTAAATCCTAGCATATTTAAAATGGTGTCAATGAAGGCAAAGAGGTAAGAGGTACTTCTTTTATTACACATAAACTTTAGTCATTCAACCATCCAAAGATTGTGCCCGAAACCATAGGAACTCAGTTAAGCTACAAACAAATCTTGCAAATGGCACATGAGCAAATGGTAGAAACCGTGGACTTGAAACTTACCAACAAAAATATAATTTTGAACAATTATAAATGTTGTGAACCACCATTAGTTACTATCATTAAAATGAATGCAATAAGTGACCCCTCTTTTTGCAGTTAAACAAAATTGTAAGACAGTAATCAGTGTCTCTAATGAAGTAGTATGTGTATTTTATGCAGTAGCACTTAGTGTACCAATGATGTACAAATGTAGTAATACACATATTTTCAGCAATAGATGTTCTCGTTCACAGATTTCTCTATATGACCACCCATAATAATAAACTCTTGTCAAATATTTCAGCATTCCAGTGTTCAGTGTTTGTAATGTTATATTGTTGAACACATATTGTGATTTTTTTTTAGATTTGGGCTTCATATTTCGGGTTTGGGCTTATTTAGATATTTAATTAATATAGCCCAATTAATATTGTTTTATGTAATTAATTAATTAAAAAAATATATAAAGATTGTGTGGATTGCAGTTGAGCAAAACAAAGCACTCCTCAAGCGGTTGTTCACGTACAGAAGGTGAGAGACCAAATGAGCTAATGATGGGATGATGGAAATATACGTTAGTGGATCCTTTTGGTAACTGTCTGTGGAGCTTAAAAAAGGATGCAAGGGAACAACGTAGAAGTCTCCAACCAAATTCTTTGACGAATTCAACAAATCAAATCAAACTCTCCAACGAATCAAGCAATTTAATTTTTAAAGTCTTGTCTTTATTTTTCCTAAGCACTATTTATTTACATTTCATGTAATTACAAGCTCTCTTTTCAATACAAGCAAGCAATTTACACTTCAAACAATTAAATTTCCTTTACATTTCAAGCAATCAAATCTTTATTTACAAATTCATCTATCAATTTATTTTAATTGCACAATTGGTGAAATGTCTACTGTGGATCAAAAGCCACATCCTAGAAGTCAGATTGATAGGTGTTACTTTTATAGTATTTTTAATATAATTTTTATTAGGATTTTTAGTATTTTTAATTACTTTAATTAGTTTTATTTATATTTTTGTTCAAAGCTCTGTGGATCAAAAAGCCCACATCCTAGAAGTCAGATTTTGATTCAGGTGTTACTTTTATAGTATTTATAGTATTTTTAATATAATTTTTATTAGGATTTTTAGTATTTTTAATTACTTTAATTAGTTTTATTTATATTTTTGTTCAAAGCTTCCTTAAATTCTATTTTACTTGATCTTGAGGAATTTTCTAGGATTTTGATACAAAAAAAAGCGAAGTGAAGCAAAACTCTCAGAGCGTAGCACACCCAAGCCGTGTTATCTAGCACGCCCATGATGAAAACCAAATTTTGCCTTAGGCAGAGAACATCAGTTCTAGCTCGTACCACTTGCATGGGTCCACATGAGATACTTTCCTAAACGTGCCAATCAAGTTTAAATTCTATTTAGATGCATGGAAGAGTCCTAATTGAGAAGAAATTAAAAGCCTAAACAGTCTCCTATTTCCAAAAGATTTTCTACTCAATAGAGATTTACTTTCCTAAACGAACACGAATATATTACAGAAAGTCTATAGAAAGAGAGAGACTAGCCATGATTGGGGAGGATCCATTCATTGTAAATTCCATCTCTGGTTCTATTATTTTCTCTCTCTCTCTCTCTCTAAGACTTCAAGTGCTCAAGATTTGTGTCAAGATTCAAGAAAGCTGCCCACGTTATTTGGTGACCAGTTTTTATCTCTAAACTCTTAATCTTGTTTTACTTTTCATCATTCATATTGATTATAGAATTATTCTCAAGTTTAATTGAGTTTTATTTAATTACTTTTAATTGGAGTTTTTATTTTAAATTACTATGTCGAACTAAATCATACTAGGGATTTGATATAGCTTAATTTCTTGTCCAATTTATAATATAGATTTGTTTTTCTTTGTTTAAAATATAATTTATTATTGAACTTACTGCTTCCAGAAAAAGTTTCTCTTCTGGACTGATTTATTTCATTCATCACTGTCTGGAGAAGGGTTTTTTATATGAAAAAAGGTAATAAATTACATAAGAATAATAACTTAATGTGGAAGCTATATGGTTTGACTCATGGAGGGTTTTCATAAGTTAACAACCTTAAGTTATGAATTCACAAAACAATGTTTTAATTCATGTTTGATTACACCATTGGAAGAGTTTGATTATGCTATTCGGAAGATAGGTAATTAGATGATTAAAATAGCTATATTTATTATTATTGTTAGAGAGCTTGTGTTAGTGATTTTAGGGTTGTTTCCCCTACTTAAACAATTAAAATTGATTATCAAACTAATAAAATAAATTGAATAGAATTAAGTGAAATCAAAACGCCTAGTAGCTTTATATCCTTGATTTCTTTTCACCAAATATTCTTGCTTGATTTCTTTATTTGTTTAATTTAATTTCTTAAAATAAATCTTCTTATTGTCGTTTAAATAATAGTAGGTTAACATAATTTTGGTACTTGGTATACAATCCTCATGGCAATGATACTCTACTCATTCTTTATTACTTGTTTGCGATTTTGTACACTTGCGAAAAATCACTGTCAAAAAATCACTGTCATAGATCAAGCACGATATTAATTTTCAGTTTGTACACTTCACACACCTGACACGCCCGCAATTCACAATTTAAGCTGTCAACTAGTGGATTCGTTGCTTTTTTCCCTGAAAGACCAACACATATAAAGAACAATAATGATATCAGCTTTCTAGAAACAATTTTATATTTTGTTCTTTATTGCTTACGGTTAGAGCATTGGATTTTTATTTATTAATTTATGATTTGTCCTAGCATCGTAGACTTAAGGATCCAAATCAATTTGCTTGAATTCAATGGAAAGCACAACACCAAGATCTTAAGAACCTCCACAATTGGAATCAAATGATGAACATCTCATGTTATTAAATGTGAGTGGTGCAGAAGTGAGTTTTGAGAAGTTCTAAAATTACTGCCACATTTTACCATTCTTCCTTCTAAACCTCGAAAGAAAATCAAGAATGGTCTGACTATCTATACAAAAGAGGAATTAGGTATTAATAATTCTAATACTAGATGTACCCCACTTAGCCTATTTGATTACGGTTGTTGCTTCTAATTATTCATATTGATGGGTACAAATCAACTTAACTTTGGTGAATGCACAGAGAAAGGAATTTAAAAGAAGAAGAAAAAGGAAAGATGAAATTGTGGAGAGGACATTTCGCAGTTCGAACTCTCTCTCCGCTTCAATCGATTCCACATAGCAAGAGAAATTTTATTTTAATGGAAGAAATAAGAAGAAGAGATTGAGTATCACTGAATAGAAGCTGGTTTTGTCAAGCTATGGCCTAAGATGAAAGTTGTTGCAACTATAGGTGCTTGAGTTCTCTTCATCAAATCACGGCAACGGGTTGATGAATAGAAAAATTAAGGATTTTAGTTTGGTATATCCACAAGCTTCTATTTGCAATCTTTGCCACTATTAAGCAATTATAGTTGGCTGACTAGATGAGGGAAGGAGTGTAGGTGGCACACTATCGTGGAAAAGAAGAGGAGATGGGTATTCAATCATTTTTGTGATTTTTTCATATGCTAAAATATTAATTTGTTTAATGTGATTCATTTTTATCAAAATGGTTTATTTTAGTCTTAGGTTACCTTAACCAAGGTTATGTTGTGGGTCCCATGTTTATAATGTTTTAAAACCCCTTATGACATCCTACTGAATCGAGTCGTTGCATTTAGCGAGTCGAGTCGAGTCGGAACGAACCAGAACCCGGTTCGAGCCATAAAAATTAAATAAATCAACATAAAAATTAAAATAAATCAAAGACTTGACTCTTTAAAATTGAATGAAAACCATAAAGATGTAGACTCAATTGAAATAAAAGTTAAAGGATTAGCGACCAATTGAAATAAAAAGTATAAAAGTTATCGTATTTTAAATGGTAAAATATTGAAATTTAGGTACTATTTGGCTAATTTTTAACCAATACTAGAAGATATATTTGGACCATCTTCTCCTTTGTCCCTTCTTTCCTTCACTTTACCTTCTCCATCTTCTCTAAATCCTTCTCCATTTTCTACTTAATATTCAACTTTTTCAAGCTTAAATTCCAACCTATAACTCTATCCAAGTAAGTTGAATTTTCTTGAATTTCATAATTAGTGAGATTTTGGATGATTAAAATAAGATGTTAATTTATGTATAGGAGAGGTGAG